AGTTTGTCTAAACTCCAGGGTTTCACAAATTGTTTGGGATAAATAATATTAAAAACTGCTTATTGTAGTGTCGTTTACCATGCTAGGCCCATATAACTTATTCTGGACAGACCAATTTATCCATTCTTTTTGAGTCACATTTTGACCTTGTCAATTACTCGTTTATCAACCTTGATTGGTTTTATATGAGAGTATGTTTGTGTATTTCTTATCTTACTCATCATATATATGTAACTTATTTTGCCTGACTATCGATTAACGCTTGATTGAATCGAGTTGGATCACTCGCCTTCTCAAATCTGCTTGGCTCTTTTTTCTTTGTTTCGTCTCACAGTTCAAAACACTGAGTGTATGGAATATATATATTCAAATTTTATTCTCGTACTTGGCTTATTTAATTCCGTTATTTATTAACGCGAGTTAAGTCGACAATTATATACGAGGATAGATGACATGTGTATCTCTCAATATCAATCATTCGTACAATCCGAATAGAGTCAGATCTCGGGCCACTAAAACATATCTCGGGAAAATTTCGGTGGAAAGTTGTGTACCCTCCGCCACTTTTAAATTATTAACACACTATCTGGAGATCTTTTAATAGATTAAATAAGCAGAAAATAAAGTTCTATATGAAGGTGACGAGGTCGTAGGATCTGTTGAACAGCTTGAGTGAAAACCTGACTGTTTGATATGTTGTAAACTTTATCCAAGGAAAATAATTCTTTGACCTAGTTAAACACTAGAAGATATGATCATTGAATGTTTAAGATACTAGCTTGTCGGTATTCGATCTTAGGTGTCATTCAAACATTCTTCGTATGTGAAAGAAACATTGAGCTAAAAAAGTTAGGTTTTAGTGTTCTAGTGTTAGGTTCTAGTCAAGGAGACAATGTTAGTCGATCGAGTAGTGAACCTGGAACCGCTAAAAAGTCAGGTGTTGATTAAAATACGAAACTTCAGTAATAACATAAACGTTCATGCAAACAGATATAATAAAGCACAGGCAAACTTTAATTCTTTTGGAGATTACTTATTGGGATTTTCGGGTGGTCAAACACATCTAAAAAGTACAGCAATTAAGTTTATAACACCTTGATTAAAAGGATTTTTTTGTAATTACTGGAAGATATATGTTCGGTATCTTTAGTAAGATCTCACTTTTTCATTTAGAAACAAAAGGATACCTTTCTGGAATTAAATGAGTAACCAATGCTTTTACAAATAATTAAGTCGGGTGAGAAAAGTACAATTCAATATTTGTGCTGGCCTCAGTACACCACTGGAGCTTGTCTTGAAGTGAATTCCTTTAGTGAGAAAAAATGACGCTTTGGGATTTGATTTACATTTCTCGTAAACTAATGTGAAGACTGCTCAATGTGAGAAGTACATTTTCCTTCACAAATTTCCCATGCATTACAATTATTACGGTATGTTTCTTTTTTATTGTTCTCTGCAGAAGTCTTAAGCTTTTAGTTGAAATGTTTCCTTTTTAAGCCCAGTTTTTTTAATGAGAGAGAGGCTTTTTAATAGTTAAAATTAAAACACGAAGTTCAGCGAAGGGATCTCTTTTCAACGAATTTATTACCAAGCTGAACAATCGTATATATATGAAATTTTTTTGTTTTTGTATAAGTACTAATTCCGTGAGGAAATGTGAACACAATTAATAAAAAAAGGTTATAATACTAGATTACGTAATATGAGTAATAGCAATAACAATAGATTTGGTGAATACAATAAGACGATTAAAATGTTTTTGTTATAATAATGAAAGGTCATAGAAGTGTAGAAATAAATAAGGTGATGTGATGAGCATTTACGAATAAAATAATGGGAATATAAGACATATGTAAAGGGGGGAATGCAGTAATAATAATAATAATAATAATAATAATAATAATAATAGTAATAATAATAATAATAATAATATAATCAAAATAATTAAGGCCAAGGTAACGATAACAATAAGATGTACTTCGTTTGTACGCATAGTTCTGGTTTAAGCTCCTGGATGGTAATAGCTTCTGCACGTTTGTCGTTTGTGACAATAATATTGATTTAGATGATATTTTACACACCTTTAACTCATGCCACCCTTCCATAGACTTCACGTTAGAAAGGGAACGAGACCAATCAATTCCTTTTCTCGATGTACTTCTGATGTGGAGTAATGGTTCTTTAAAGAGATCCGTCTTCAGAAAACAAACATGGAATGGCCGGCTAACCAACTTCTATAGCTGGGTTCCGTTAAGTAGAAAGAGAAACCTCGAATACATCAGATATGCAGTACGGAATGCATTAACGAAGAACTCGCATTCCTCAAAAAAAACCTTGACGAAAAATGGTTACCCATAACGTTTCATCGAAAATAATATGAATAGAAATAGTTGCGACAAGAAATCTAGTTGTTCCGTCCCGAAGAAAGACCTTTATATAAGTCTGGAATTTAAAGGTGATCGAACATCAGACGTAATCAGAAACCGTCTAACAACAACGATTAGAAGAACATTTAACGCTGCTAAACTGCGAATAACCTTCACTAGTAGGGACTTATTTTCTGTATCCATAAAAGATAAGTTTCCGCGTCTGGTCGCCTCTATGTGCATCTAATCAGTTCACCTGCTCTTGTGGAGCAAGGTACATTGGCCGTACCTAGCGCTCGCTTTCAACTCGGATACGGGAACATATCCCAGCTTGGTTCTATAGGGCTGAAAAGAAAGCAGTTAGGAGTTCTATACTTGAACACCTAATCGACTGTAACCATTCTACAGATCCACAATTTGATTTTAAGGGTGTTTATATGATTCGTTCAAATCTACCCAGATTTCTTCGTATCCAACTCTTAAAAATAGCCGAAGCTCTTACCATCCAGGAGTTTAAACCAGAACTATGCGTACAAAAGAAGTACGTCTTATCGTTCAGTCAGTCAGTCAGTCAGCTACAACGTAGGACCAGGCACATATGTGCATCGGTCCAGGTTGCCATACCTCATTAGCACAGCAAGATGAAAACCGGATTCATAGGAGTGGTTAGGTCAAAGGTTGCAATAAGGATATAGTATAGGAAGAAAGAATTAGTTCTTAGACAGAAAGAATGAAGTGATTTTAGTCTCTTAGTTTAAGGGAAGACAGGGAGTGTATACACCGACGCCACGTCTTATCGTTACCTTGACCTTAAGCATTTTGATTATCCAGTTATTATTATTATTATTGTTATTATTATTACTGCATTCCCCCTTTACTAATGTCATATATTCTCATTGTTTTATTCGTGAATACTCATCATATCACCATATTTATTTTTACACCTCTATGACCATTAATTATTACAACGAAAACATTTTAATCATCTTATTATATTCACTAAATCTATTGTTATTATTCGTATTACGCAATCTAGTATTATAACCTTTTTTATTAGAAATTTCACAAGTTGAAATCATGAGCCAATTGAAGCTAGACCACCATGGAAAACCTGGAAGCACTGGACGGCCGTTTCGTCCTAGTATGGGACTCCTCAGCAGTGCGCATCCACGAATTCGCCCCCGCGGGATTCGAACCCAGGACCTACTGGCTTCGCGCGCGAGCACTTAACCATTAGACCACTGAGCCGGCATCCAACGGTGTTAATGTCTAACTTCAACTAATTGTGTTCACATTTCCTAACGGAATTAGTACTTATACAAAAACAAAAAATTTTCATATATATACGACTGTTCAGCTTGATAATAAATTCGTTGAAAAGTCAGTCAATCAGTAACAACGTAGAACTTCGTACGTACGTACATCAGTTCGAGTTGCCACACCACCTTAGCACAGAGATGCAGTTGTCGATTCAAATCCCGTAGTGGTAGAGGTAATAAGAGTGTAAGCAGTAATCGGGAAGATTAGTGTTTGGAGATGTTACCTAAAGAGTATAATCCAGTGAAAGAAATTTGGAAAGAGGGAAAAAGGGACATGAAGAATTCAGAAGATTAGAATTCGGGAGAACACAAAGAGTGAATGCACCTGCGCCATTGCAAACGATTTTGAGCCATGTCATTCAGGGTCTCTAACCATCGGTTGCTGTCATCTCGCGGTCCCCAACCAGGTAGTCTACACCTACCAACATGACTCAGTTCACTTGTCAGTGACTTCATGGACTTGTGCCATGTTTTGGTTTGGCCGCCCCTAGCTTTCTTCCAACCTACTCCTATACCACTGAACATAGCACGTCGAGGCAGTCGGTCGTTGGGCATACGTAACACGTGTCCAAGCCATCTCAACTGATGAAGCTTCACTACGTCATCAATTGATTTGCCATCCTTACCTAGTACCCGTTTCCTAACAACTGAGTTACTTACTCGATGGTCCCACGATATACGAGCAATATTTCGAAGACACCTATGATCAAATACTAGTAACCTATGAATATCCTCTACTCTTACCGGCCATGTTTCACTGCCATAAAGTAGGACGGAACGAACTGCTGTGCAGTAAACACGTCCTTTGGTTGAAAAGAGATCCCTTCGCTGAACTTCGTGTTTTAATTTTAATGTTTAAATGGGAATTATCGGTCAATTTTTAATAGTTAACAAGACAAAATTCTAGACGTTCAAAAGTAATGAATGTTAAGTGAGAGATGAACGCAATGATATGGCATAAACAAGTGATGGATGCTCACGAGATCATATTAGTGACTTAAGCTCTCGAATTATTATAAATCGGGAACGAGACAGCTAAGCCAGAATAATGAATTTTAAGTAATAAAAGTACGTGCTTATACACAAAATATTACCGCAAAATACATATGATAAAGTATCGTATGTGAGTGCAGGAAATCAACTTGTAAGTCACTCATTCTTCAATCAATTAGGATGTGACGGTTAAGTCTAATCTTCGATTATTGTATCATAATTGAGGCAAAGTTTAACTGTTCAAAGTATAATGAACCCATATAGGAAAAATAAGACGGTCATCGTGTATACAGAAACAAGTGCTTATACGAAAAACACTTACTTGACACTCCTGACATTGGCATTCTCCTGTTACGTTAGGGCGGGAATCAAATGGTTTAACACAAAATGATTTTTCTAGTAGATCATCAAATATTCCAAAATGTGAAGTTAAATTATCGTCCATTATCTTTTTTAGCGAAAGTAGACTGTGTTCACATATATGGACCGGAGTCAGAAACTGTTCAAAAATACTATCTGAAGGTAAATATGTGAGATGAGATAGACTTCCTTTACAAGTTCCAGGTTTATATTCCGACAAATATGGTTTATCCAGACGAGAATCAGTATATGGAAGGAGATACAATAAAGGCAAACGAAAGCACAAATCGTGTCTGACATGTTGACGAAGGTAAGCAGCGCGAGCACATGGATCGGGAAGTCGGTGGCAAATAAATTCAACAAGTTCGGAACTCAAAAACTTTATTTCCATTTGTCCGTCAAGTGATAAATGTCTTCGAGCTTTGTTCAAGTACGTTTTTATATCAGTCTTACGAGCGTCTAATTTACCCGATGGTTTGCTTGTTCGTCGAGTAAATCTTGTTGGTTTTAATGCTGAGGATGAAGCAGGAGGATTTAGGAATACAAGTTCACTATTCTTGTCTTCAGCGACTGTTTGAAATTTTTCAGATAAATGCGTGAACCTGGCTGTTGCACAGAGTATATCGCCCAATAATATAAACAGGATTATCAGAATTCCCGAACGTTCAGTTGTAATAAATTTAGCTGATGATGAGCAAATACTTGGAAATAAGGCACTGTTGTGTATAGGTTTTTGTTGTTTGCAATTATTTGAAGACAAATTGTTAGTAGAATTAAATAAGTGTGATTTTTTCCGATCGAGTAAAAACTGACACGGAGAAATAAAAGGAGTATCATGATCTCCTGTAATGCACATAGCTTAGCCTGGCGACCAGATCAACACGACCATGCGCATTGTGCCGTCTCAATATGCGAAAGCCAGGGCTTTATCTTGCTCAAAGTTGTCAAGATCTGGTAAGGAAATTGTGTTCACCCATGTCTGAGCAAAAGTAAAAGGTTCACGTATTAATGTAGTGTACTTAGTAGTCGTTATTTTGGAAAAAAATCAGTACAAAAAACCAAATTCATACAACTCACTACTAGAATATTATGTGGTGATTGTTTTTCATACAGTTTACTTGAGTTCTCCAAAATCCTACTGATAATTTGGCTTAAGAGGATTTTTGGTTGGAAAGTCTAAGCTGATTCACGTGTTTAGATTTTTTTGCCACTACCATTCTTAAATCGTTTGGCTAAATTTAAAGAATTTGGTTTAATTTATTGAACGCATTAGTATTTATAATGCAACAACCATTTTTTAGTCATTCAAATACTACTTGTCAACTAAAAGTACCTTGTACAAAAAGTATGTGATCTAAATGCAAACAACTTCACTCTTTCAAGTTAAAAAAAACTCATTTTTTTCAGACCTACTAGCATACACATGAACATACACGATTGTACCTCACACAGAACCATCTGGACGGAAGTGGGAGGACATAGATGAAATCAAAACTACTTTAATCTTACTAAATATTCTGCTTTGTCCCTCTGTATAATTTACTTATTTATTTAAACACATAAACATCGGCACAAGGAGGTACCAAATATATATGTGCCACATTTCGTCATTCAATTTGTTCGAGTACTCCCCGTATACTTGTGAACAAGCGACTTACACTAAGCCACGAAACTTCTGGATTTTGGTTGTTCATCTGTTCAGATATTACAACTAGATTACTATTTATCGTAAACAATACAGTAAGTGCTCAATTTATTTGGAAATATTAGTCAAACCTTATCATTGATATTTACAAATTATTCATTTTCGTTCTACAGTTGTAACTGTACTGTGATTTGTCTAAAAGTAGTACCTATGATTTGCAAAAATAGAAGTGAACTCGTTTTGTTTAGAATTCACTTATTAAAGTTGTGCAGGAAAAGACGGCACAGGTCCATAGTGTTGAAGAAGAGTGTGTAAAAAATAAGTGCTCTCTCGGTCTAGAGAACCTATAGTCAATGGAACACTGATCCTGTGACAAATTCAAAATGAATGTTAGAAATCACAGTATGATAACTTGCCAACAAACAGGATCAAAGGACACTAGACCACTACAAAAATTTGGGATTACCATTTAGATTTAAATTTTAGTTTCATAAGTATCAATCATCAGGATAACCCGCAAGTTCCTTTATTTGTTATACACTGGACCATGAAATAAGTAAAGGTTGTTTATAAATATAAAAAGTGAATGCATGCTAGTGTAGTGACTCACATTTATCACGAGAACACGACTGGTTTAATAAAAACAATTATTATTATAACCAACTGTACCAGTGTTTGTTTTAACGTGCTTTTGTTTGACTGTGCTAATGACAGCTATTTTGTGCTTCCATTCTTTTACTTACACTTCGATTGTAACTTCGCGCGAATTCGGTTACCTTCCGTAACCAAGGTTATATCCTGGCACGATCTCGGTATCCTTTCGATGCCACGAGATCGCCAGCCAAATATAACTCGACTTGGTCCATTAATTGCCTTCTGGTATTTGGCTTCTCGGGGATTTTATGGATCTATTTGGTTACGTCCAACCCTCGCCTTCTGATTTATTTGGCACGTGTTTCTTGGTAGCGGTGTTCATAGTTAACCTCAACTCGACGCCACGCCACAATTGGTGATCCCACAGTTTGGAACACGCCTCAACCTCGGGTCAAATCTTCCAAAGAAGCCAATTCGGTGAGTCTATGATTTATCTATCCACGTCTGTCGTATATTTTCATATTTTTAATATATAATATACGCGACATGACGGATAACGATAAGAATAGTATTAATATAATAGACTCACACGTATGCGTACCGAATCCTTGTCACTTTTTATTCGCGTGATGATGAATTCCACGCTTTATTCGAGAAATGTTACCCTATTAACGATTCTCCTCGCTGACCCGGCTGCTTGGTACGGAATGCATACGCATAAGCATATCCGTCTACCACCCAGCACCAAATGGTTAAGTTGAACGGTTTCACTGCCAACTTAAAAGTGTTCTACGAGCACACGAAAACGGCAACTGGCACGAAACCTTACCATTCGTTCTTTTAGGGGTGAGAACGAGTTTAAAGGCAGATATCCAATGTTCCGCCACTGAACTTGTATACGGCACGACATTGCGTCTGCCCGGAGAATTCTTCACACCACGGAGCAGACCTAATTTCGGTAAATCAGACTACGTCCATCGACTGTCTGCATTTATGCGAACGCTGTCTCCGGTGTCAACTCGAATACAACATCGACAGGTCGCTCTCCCTCGAGAGTTATCTACCTGTTCACATGTTTTTGTACGAGTAGATTCGGTACGCAAACCTTGGCAACAACCTTACGAAGGCCCTTTTCACGTGATCGCTCGTCACGAAAAGACCTTCAAGGTTGATCGACACGGCCGCGTCGAGATCGTCAGCATTGATCGTCTCAAACCAGCACACGTCGATGACAGTGCCCTATCTGACAACCTGAGATTCAATGCTAGACCTAGCAAACCTACTAGCGGGATCTTCAAATCATCTTCAGGTCCCACGCTAGATACATCTGAGACCTCATTCTCACGTCCCAGTCAACAGCACGCGTCATCTGCACCGTCTACGGACGAGACGACAGTCTCACGTCCAGATCAGCAGATCATGCCGCCCTTGACTTCGGATGAGATTGCAGGCTCACGCGACTGCCGTCTCACGTTCCGGTCGCCGAGTACGGTTACCCGTACGCTTCCGCGAATAGTCGCGCAGTCAACAACCGATACGGTGTAGGATTATTCCTATACTACACGTATGCTACACTCTTCTTTTTTGATTTTCTTTTTGTTTCCTGAGCCCACGCCTTCGACCATCTCCGTTTGGTTCCGTCGACTTCAGTCAACTTTGGCGAAAGCTGGCCTGATCACTCATGCTCTTGTCAACGTACTCAGTCGATATATTGGTTTCGAATGCTTGGCATACGCTTGGTCTCGAACTTAGTCGTTATGGTCGCTTCTGGTCTTTTGGCTCAACGTGGTTTCGTCCTTCGTCTGCAGCGTTTATGGTCCGGACCCGTACGAACGCCCTCTTCAGATTCTGGATACAAACCACTCTGGTAGCATGCCAACTCAAGCAATACATACAGCACATCGCTCCTGGTACCGTTCTCCGAAAACGAACTTCGTTGGCAACTCGAGGATCAACAATCGTTCTCCTGTTCGCCAATTCTTCCCTCCTACAATCGCTCGTCAGCCGATCAGTCCCACGATTTAAACCGCTATTTATCGAAAGTGTAAACCCTTTCTAGCGGGGGGCTCCTGTAGTGACTCACATTTATCACGAGAACACGACTGGTTTAATAAAAACAATTATTATTATAACCAACTGTACCAGTGTTTGTTTTAACGTGCTTTTGTTTGACTGTGCTAATGACAGCTATTTTGTGCTTCCATTCTTTTACTTACACTTCGATTGTAACTTCGCGCGAATTCGGTTACCTTCCGTAACCAAGGTTATATCCTGGCACGATCTCGGTATCCTTTCGATGCCACGAGATCGCCAGCCAAATATAACTCGACTTGGTCCATTAATTGCCTTCTGGTATTTGGCTTCTCGGGGATTTTATGGATCTATTTGGTTACGTCCAACCCTCGCCTTCTGATTTATTTGGCACGTGTTTCTTGGTAGCGGTGTTCATAGTTAACCTCAACTCGACGCCACGCTACACTAGTAACCCTAACTGTTGACATAAATGCTATATGATAAACCTTGATAGTGATCTTTGTGAACCGAGTTTGAAGAGTGCATGTTGAGAAAAAAAATGTAAAATCATTATCAGTAAACCAACCTAGCTTACCTGTCATCTATACACATATTAGAAACTCAGTAATTTTTTATGCGAACTTTCCGCACTTCAAAACACTTTATTCAGATGTTTAAAAATGTTGGTCAATTTTGATGACCAGGTATATTTGTGGAATTAATGCTCGATGTACTTTTGTTGTGACTTGGAAGTTAGCTTATATATATAATTAGTTTAGTTAGACCAGTAAACGTTTGATCCGTTTACTTGATATCAGCGAATACACTGGTTAAGACGTTGGTAATATTGAGAAATGGAGTAAAAATGGAGTACTTGATCTCAATATGTGTAGATTTTGTTGAAACGTTAAAATTGTTTTGATAATCTGTGGGATCAACTAAGTAATCTGATGATAGTTCCCTCAAAATTACTATAAATCTATTTTTTTACAATGAACCAGAACATATTAATGATTATAATTATAACTGTTCATATTTTAATACTAAACGCCTTCAGTGTTGAATGAAAGAAACTTTTAACAATAGTGATTTTGATAATCACATCTTATTTTTAGAAAAATTCACTCTTAATTTTAGAATAAGTGTTTATGGGTTGCAAAATGAAGAATTGTACTGTTTCTGCTGATGTTGTCCAGAATTACGGTGAAAGCTCCGCGGCCAAACCATCCAGCTCAGAGAAAAAGACTACATCAAAATGTTCAATCCTTAATGACCTGAGTTTTACCTGGTATAGAAGGGTGGGTTTAGTGGGTATGATAAGTAAGCAATAGTAAGGTTAGACGGATGGTATTAGGGAATGGTGGTAAATAAGTTGATGAGGTTGTAAATCTTCATCAACTGAGATGGTTGAGCCACGTGTTGGTGTATGCCTGAACACCGATTACCACGACGTGCAATGCTGGTTGAAGGAAAGTTAAGGGTGGCCAGAGCGAAACGTGGCATCAGTCATTGTGGTCACTAACTTCTGGTCTTATCCATGTCGTTAGACGCGGACTACTTGGTTGGGATCCGCGTGACTATCGTAGCCAATGGTTGGAGACTGAATGACATGGCTCAGAATCGACCACAATGAAGTAGATGTATACACTCTCTGTCTGCACTTTTACCATGAAATTAAAATTACTTTATATCTTGATTTCTACGAACTAATTCTTTCTCCCTGTATCATGTCCTTATATGAAATCTTTTATATATTACCTCCACTGAATTAACTACTTCTATTAATCCGGTGTTCATCTTGTTGTGCTGATGAGGTGTGGCAACTTGGGCAGATGCATATATGTGCCTCGCCCTACGTTGCAGATAACTGACTGATTACCAGGCACAACTTTTTATGCTAGATTCCAACTTAAACTTGATAACTGATGGATAAAGACAATATCCAACAGTGGTTTGACCTATTAAGTCGATGAAAGTTAAGAACTTGAATCATATAAAATTATGGCAAATGACTTCCGATCTAAAAGTTACTTGACATGAACAATCAGATAAATTCGCCATACAACTGTCATTTACCAAAACGTAACTTCTCAACATAAAATATTATAGAGGTTAGAGCATATGGAGTGAAGGGGCTTTTGTTCGAGCCCACTTTTTTAAGTTGACTCAAATGAAACAAGTAAATGGTAATTAATCTCCAACTACCTGTCTAGTCAGTCAAGTCGAACAACCTAAGTTTATTTTCTACTAATCAACTTGATATAACTCAGCAACCACAAACAGGTTTATTTACTTCGCTACCAAGAAGACTAAAATGAATTAGGTGGTTTTGGACAACAAATGAAACAGGCGAGTTGACCTTTAAGTATCGAATCACTGATGGAATGAGTTCTGAAAATGAAAAGGTAGTTGAGTAAATATTTTTTGTTACACAAGAAATGCATTTGATCAGAACATTGAAGTTCTCGTATCATGATCGCGATAATGAGGATATTATCTGCTATAAATCAAACATACAACCAGACTACTCTGAAGAAACTTGAATTAACATCATGGCTTATACACGCTTGTATATTATAAATAATAGTAAACACTCATAAATAAAGAATAACAATTCACAGAGCACCAACTAGTGAAAGGATATAGCTTAACATATGCAAAATATTAGGGTTCTGAACATATTCTTTCCGATGAACCAGTCTGTTATATGAAGGTTATAACTATTAAGTATTGCAGGTAGGGATTAAGTAAACACCTCTCAAGTCAACAAATAGGCGAACTGTGGCGAAATTTCGTGGAATTCCCCGAGGAGTTACGTGTGTATTTGGGCGAGAAGTAGGCAATTCCGCGGAAATTTAGGCGAAAAGTAGGCAATTCGGCGGATATTTAATTGAAAATGAGAAAATTCAGCGAATATTTAGGCGAAAAGTAGACAATTCAGCGGTTATTTAGGCGAAAATTCGACAGCTCAGCGGATATTTAAATGAAAATTCCAAAATTCAGCGGTTATTTAGGCGAAAATGCGACAATTCGGCGGATATTTAGGCGATAAGTCGGCGAAAAGGGGTAAAATCCGCATTATTTCCCCCGGACAGGCGAAAAAAGCGACATTCTGGCGCGTTTTCCCCTTTCGCCACCAAAGCATTTACCCCTTTATTTCCCCTTTTTGGGTTGCTTGGGAAATCATCAAGTCGGTGGGAATATGTACAACGATGCGTCAAAACGTCATTTTTCCCTGAACCAGGTAAAACAGAGTAATTCCCCTATTGAGGAGGAGTATATCGAAACTAACCCTTTTACCCTCCTCAAAATAAACACCGAATTGTTTACAGCTATTAGCTGTATCTAGCAACCATTATGATGTAAAGCTATTCACTGAGAAAAACTAATAGGATAAAGATATTGTGAAACTTGATAATTAATAGCTTTGTCTACTCCATGTAGGTATACAAGCAATTTATTAAAAATAACGAGTCAAAAGGGAAAACAGACAACCACCAATAAACAGATACCTATAGTCGCGGGAAATAAAAAGCCTCTGAGTTGGATTAGTAAAACTAATTTCAAGTTGTTCTGCTGAACCTCTTTGTTTATATTGTGGAATAATTGTGACTTTGTATCATCTACTCATTTATTATTTAGCCAACAACAGTCGTATAAAATTGTTCGGAAACGGACTACATAAAAAAGACTCTACATTGGTTAAGTCCTTCACCGTCATTGTTAGAGGTTATTGTAGAACATTACTATTTTTATTTTTGATGGCTTTATTCAATATTATATTGTGGTACAATATGGAATTCTCATTGCAATTAATAAAAGGCCCCAACCTTTAACGTTTTATCCCACAACTTTCAAGTTTCCACTGAATATGTTCATTGCTCGACTGAAATTGACGACATTGAAAATATCCAGTTCCGTTTTCCAGTGTAGCTGTGAATCGTTCGTGACTGATCACGCCCAGTGTGTTGCAAACCACTGTCAGAACGGTGAGGAGCAACAGGAACCTTGCTTCAATTAATAAACATCAAAGACTTTTCGTTAATAGACTTTTGTACAAAAGATGTTTGTGGGTGACAGACGATCGTTTGAAATCGTGTCATTCCTAGTAGTGTAATGAGACAATGGAATTGTCTCGATTAGTATTTGCGTCAACGGGCTGTAGCAATAGTTGAAGGATAGACGGACTTTGCCACCCATCGTTCGAAGAAGGCACGGGCCATTGTTTTAGCGGTAATATCCTTGATGTGTACTTTTTCTGGCCGTCGTGTGAAACGATCTGCACACGTTAAGGTGTAAGAGTATCCATTTTAGTCTCGTAAGAGTACTAACAAATCGAGATGGACGCGGTCGAGACAGGCATCGAGAGTTTTGAAAGGACACAAGGAACATTTGTTGCGTCTAATAACTTTAGATCTCTGGCAGCTTGCACAGAAGCGTGCCCACTCCATCATACTAGGCCAACGAAACAGATCGGACGGTTTTAACGTTAACACTACCATCATCCTCTAAATTAGTCAAATCACCCTTTTTAACAGTGAAGATGCTGTAAGTTTTGGAGTGTGACAGCACTTAAACCAGTAACACCTATAATCGAATCGTGCCCACCCAGTGAAGTCAAAAGTTAGAAGCAGGGACGTTCGGAGATATATTTGATAGGTTATCAATATATCAAGAAGTGACTGATCTAAACTGACTAGCGGCTGCAGGAGAAGTCGAGCACGGCGTTCCCACTCGTAATCTGGTGCGGATGCGTGACCGGACGAATTCAGCTTGGTGAGTTCATTAAAACTAATGTGGTTAGCCTCAAATATCGATTTATTTACCACCACAACAGTATCTAGACCAAGATCATATTCCCAACTGGTGATGATTTTGCATGAGAGTGTCCCTTTAATCTATATTTACTCCACTATCTTCAGGTAAATATAGACCCGAATTAGAATTATTATCACTACGCTTTATTTCGAGTTTATGTTGTAAAAGAAAATACTTGGACATTCGACTTATCAGTTTTACGCCCACTTCTCTCCATTACATAATATGCGGTCTATTCTGGCTATTTTCATCTTCATCTTCTTTTACCTCCCATGCATAAAGTTTGACTGTGACTGTAACGCTATCTAATTGTGATTAATTAGAACTTCTTCAATAATGAGTAGATTATTAATATTCTGAATTAGTTGCATCCTCATCAAGTATGTAAACTGGTGTGTATTTTATAACTATCTCAAGAAAATATTTTTTCATTATTATTTACACTTCTGTCCTATTTTATGCATGATTTTTTTACGTTTTAGGTGTAAGGCCAATCGAGTCACTGAACGTTGGGAGTGAATTTATCCGCAACGCAAACACGTAAACTAAATGTATCGCACAGCGTCATCTGTGTGTTCAAGCAACCACAGATTTTGTCATTTTATAATGTATTTTTAATTAAATAACTAGATTATGTTGTTTATTTTGCTCTGTTTTTAATTTTTATTCGCCACGTCTGACTGCGTTACACTGTACGTTCATTGCACGCTGGGATGTTATCCCAAGTCATAGTGAGTTTAATCACATAGTTTATTGTTTCCAGGTAGACCGTCAGTGTATATTGTTACTGAAGAAAGATTTGTTGTACTGTAAACTATGTTTCTATGAACAACTGACTGTCGTCAGTCGGAAAGCAATATATATAGTTTAGTATTCTTGGTTGTTGTATCATTCAGTTTAGTTGAAAGAATTATGGTATACTTAAGTATAGTAACTCCACCCGGAATCCCTCCGGAGGCTACTACCGGTCCCAAGCCCGGATAAATGAGGAGGGTTGGGCATGGGGTTAGCGTCCTCATCCCATAGAAAACTAACTCGCTAAAAAAACGCTAACCAGAAAAAGTTATTCAAACCTTTTAAACTCTGCCCCGAGAGTCAGAAGGTCTTCATTTAGAAGAACTACGACGCCTCATGATGAAAGCCTAATTCGTTCGGAAGTTACGAGGCCGATGCCCCTTCTGACAACCAGAGCGACCATTTATTTAGGTACATGGAATGTTCGTACAATTTGGGACACCGGGAGAGTGTTCCAAATTGCTGCATAAATGAGAAGATACAACCTAGAGGTACTTGGGATTAGTGAAAGACATTGGACGCAAGTTGGACAACAACTACTAACTACAGGAGAGCTCCTGTTATACTCCGGCCATGAAGAAGAAAATACCCCACATACACAAGGAGTTGCATTGATGCTGTCCAAACAAGCACAAAATGCACTTATAGGATGGGAATCTCATGGACCAAGGATCATCAAAGCCTCGTTCAAAACAAAAAAAGAGGGCATTTCAATGAACATCATCCAATGCTATGCGCCTATCAACGATTAAAATGAAGACGCTAAAAATCAATTCTACGATAGGCTGCAGTCGATCGTCGAGAAGTGCCCAACAAAGGACCTGACCATTCTGATGGGAGATTTTAACGCCATGGTTGGAACGGACAACACTGGATATGAAGACATCATGGGACGACACGGACTGGGAGAAAGGAACGAAAATGGTGAGAGATTTGCAAACCTATGTGCCTTCAATAAACTGGTCACAGGCCGCACCATATTCCCACATAAGTGCATTCACTAAATCACATGGACTTCACCGCATCACACCACGCAAAACCAAATCGACCATATCTGCATCAACAAAAAGTTCAGCAGGACGATGGAGGATGTGAGAGCCAAGAGAGGAGCTGATATAGCATCAGACCATCACTTGCTAGTCGCCAAGATGAAATTGAAATTCAAGAAGCACTGGACAATGGGGCAGACAATATCACAAAAGTTTAATACGGCTTTTCTTCAGGATAAATAAATGGAAGATTTAGAAACGACGGCGGAAAAGGCTGCAAGAGAAGGAAACATGAGACAATTGTATGACACGACAAAGAAACTCTCTGGAAATCACTGCAAACCAGAACGACCAGTCAAAAATAAGGAAGGCGAGGTGATTACCAACATTGAATAGCAACAAAACAGGTGGATAGAACACTTCAAAGAACTCTTGAATCGACCAGCTCCACTGAACCCACCCAGCATCGAAGCAGCACCCACGGACCTCCTAATCAATGTTGGCCCACCAACAATTGAAGAAATCAGCATGGTCATCAGACAAATCAAGAGTGGCAAAGCAGCAGGACCGGACAACATTCCAGCAGAGGCACTGAAAGCAGACGTAGCGGCAACCGCAATGATACTCCACATTCTCTTCAATAAGATTTGGGATGAGGAACAAGTACCAACAAACCGGAAAGAAGGACTTTTGATCGAAATACCGAAGAAAGGCGATCTCAGCAACTGTGATAACTAAAAGGGCATCACTCTTCTCTCAATACCGGGAGAAGTCTCCAACAGGGTATTGTTAAACAGGATGAAGGACTGCGTAGACGCCCAACTTCGTGACTAGCAGGTAGGATTCCGTAAATATAGATCGTGTACGGACCAAATCTCAACTCTACGGATCATTGTGAAACAATCAATTGAATGGAATTCATTACTCTACACCAGCTTCATTGACTACGAAAAGCTTTTGATAGCGTGGACAGAACAACAATATGGAAACTTCTTCGACACTACGGCGTACCTCAGAAGATAGTCAATATCATACAGAATTCATGCGATGGATTACACTGCAAAATCGTGCATGGAGGACAGTTGACAAAGTCATTCAAAGTGAAGACCGGTGTCAGGCAAGGTTGCTTACTCTCACCCTTTCTCTTTCTCCTGGTGATCGACTGGATCATGGAGATGTCAACGTCTGAAGGGAAACACGGGATACAATGGACATCTAGGATGCAGTTGGACGATCTAGACTTCGCAGATGATCTGGCCCTTCTACCTCAAACGCAACAACAAACGCAGGAGAAGACGAACAGTGTGGCAGCATCCTCAACAGCAGTAGGTCTCAATACACACAAAGGGAAAAGCAAGGTTCTCCGATACAACACAACATGCACCAACCTAATCACAATTGACGGAGAAGATTTGGAAGATGTAAAAACCTTTACATATTTGGGCAGCATCATTGATGAACAGGGTGGATCTGATGCAGATGTGAAGGCGCGGATCGGCAAAGCAAGAGCAGCATATCTACAACTGAAGAATATCTGGAACTCAAAGCAACTGTCAACCAACACCAAGGTCAGCATTTTCAATACAAATGTCAAGACAATTCTACTGTATGGGGCAGAAACCTGGAGAACTACGAAAGCCATCATCCAGAAGATACAAGTGTTTATTAACAATTGTCTACGCAAAATACTTCGGATCCGTTGGCCAGACACTATCAGCAACAACCTATTGTAGGAGAGAACAAGCCAGATTCCAGCGGAGGAAGAAATTAGGAAGGAGCGCTGGAATTGGATAGGACACACATTGAGGGAAGCACCCAACTATGTCACAAGACAAGCCCTCACATGGAATCCTCAAGGCCGAGGGAAGAGAGGAAGACCAAAGAACACATTACGCCGTGAAATGGAGATAGACATGAGAAAAATGAACAAGAATTGGATGG